AATGTACCGTTTTTTCCTCGCATTAATTTTTATACTTTTATTTTTGTAGTTTTTTCTAGTTTTTTTTTTATTGTTGTTGCCGCGGCAATTAGTTGCTTCGGGTTGTTTGGGTGGGTTGAACTGGCGGTCTGCTTGCCACTTTCATATTCAAAGGCATTTATATGCCAGCGTGTGTACTGCTATGTGTGTGTGTGTTTGTATGCTATACTTGCAGCACTATATTTAGCTTGTTCTATGTGTAAACGAATTTATGGCGCTGCAATATATAGATTTTCGACTTAGATTAGAACAACAGGAGTAAAAATTTCAATAAAACAAGAAAAAACCCTAAATTTGTCGGTACAGAAGCTATGATACCCTTCACAGGTGTATTTCGTTTTAATGCTATATGTACATAAATATAAACAAAAAATTAAAAACGGTTTGCATCCAATGGAAAAACTTTTGCTGGTTTTTTCTAGATATAGTCAACCATTAGGTCGAATTTTGAATCTTTTATAAGGAAAACTGAACTGTTCTGTTATGAATATTTTAACTTTTATTCATAAAAGTCCGATCTGATTAGTCTGAAGATTGTCGCATTAACTTGGGTAATAATCATTACCAAAATTGGTGAAGATATCTCGTCAAACAAAAAAGTTTTCCACACAAGGACTTGATTTTTATCCTTCATTTTGTATGCCAACTATGTGCCTTGAGTTTAATCTATCAGTTTTGAGCATTGAGCAGCTTCTTTGAGAGAAAAAGATGTACTATCTTCATACTACTCTTCATGTACTATTTTCACGCTGACATACATACAATATGTATCTGTGTTTACTTCATAAGGTCTCCAACGATGTCTTCCGAGTGAAACAAAATTCTTAGCAAGCTTTATATATCCTGTTCAGGGTATTAAAGATATACTAAGTCAGTAGTTTATTCGAGAACTTACACACATAAGTATGTACACCTCTACAAATTATATTCTACTTACTTACAGGTATGGTCTGCATTTATGCATATCATTTGGCAAATATCAATTTATTTATTTGCCACACATTTCGCGTTGCGCACGCATATACATACATACATATATGCAAGCATGACTCAGCATTTGGCACGAAAATCACTCATTCGCAAGCAGAGCTTTGCGCCCGACATTTAAAGCACTTAAGCTGACCCGCGCTTCGCTCAAGTTTTACGTTTACAAAATTTTCGCGAAATCGCTTTGTGGACACAGCACTTCAGCGGTGGTGGTTGTATTTTTTGGTGCTTTGATTGCTCCAATTCTTTTGCCAATATTTCTATATAATATTTAGTATTTTCGTTTCACATTTTTTGTTGTCTTCTTTTTTGTGGAGTTGTAAGCGGCATTCACTTTTTCAAGAACGAGTTAAGCAGAAATCTTTCGCGTATGCTCAACTTTATCAATATGCGTTTAATTTGTTAGCAAAACCAAGAAATGCATAATTAATAACTAAAGCAGAGAGCACATCCATGCTTCTTTTTGGTTGTCGCGCAACTTCTATAACCAATGTTTAGACTCACAATAGCGCTTCAGTAGTTTCAACGTTTGGGAAGCCGATTTTTTCGATACAGAGGAGACCTTTTTCTTTCTCCATGACATATTAGTTACCTCCTGCCAGTACTTCCGTATATGTATGTACATAATTATCATCAGTAATGAAGAAACTGAAGTTTTGCAAGTCTTTCAGTAAATCGTTTCTGCGTACATACCAAGAAGCATCCTATCAAACTGTGTACTTTCTGCCTCAATGTACTCTATGTTAGATATTTTTATTCCTCGGAACTTTAAGTAATCCACTCCTCCCAATCGGATCCGTAAAATGTTTAAGGTAGCGTACTTTCATTATATTTTTAAATATTTGTTAACTTTAACCATAAACTATCGCCAATGGCATTCACAGCCATGAAGAAAATACCATGTACGTTCGTTTCATGAAACAAGAAATAATATATCTTATCGTTGTTTTTGTAACGAACGACTTATTAATTAGTTTCCCATACAGGTGAGATAGAAGTATCACCTCCAGAGATAGCAACAACTGTTAACGTTAGGAATCGTCCGTATTTACATCATATTAAAGAAGGAAATCTCTCGTAAAAGAGTCATCAAACTTTAAACCTCCTTTAATATTGACCAGTTTTAATAGATCCACTCAATTAATTAATTCGTCCTTTTAATATTCCTATCCCTCTACATTTCAGGACTTTAAACTATAAGCATTTCTTCAAAATACTGAAAACGCTTCAAGGTTTCATTTCGACTTGATTATCTATTTTCTGGTAAAAATTTCGACTAAGAAGACAATTCGGCAGAATTTTGCCGCTACCAAAACAACAACAAAGCTTATAAGAAGTTTAAATTATATTATAAGTTCTTTCCTCAAGCCAGATAGACAAGAAAATTTTGTATCGATTGGACGAAAAGGATATAAAAAGGCGCTTATATAAGTAGTTCAAAAAGAATGTTAGACTTATTTGTTAAAGCAAAGGAGCAAAGAAACTTTGATTTTTATGAACATAAAGTGTAAACAATTTGTTGCCATATAATACAAGAGACTTCAATTGGCCGAGACCTTAGACCATATATAAGTTGTGTAAGAAAGACCATATAAAAGGGAAGGAAAAGAGGTATGATCTGATAGATGTATACCGATAGTATCGATGAAACACCAGAACTTTAGAAACTAGCCCCATGGTTCGGATATTTCTGGATATATTGGTTATAAACGAAACAAAATGCATCCATATATCAAACTAACGATCAAGTATTTTAAAGCAAAGGTTACACGGATTTCTGAAACTGCGAAGAATATGATTCTGAAAGCAACAAATTGCTTTAATTAAGAGTAAACTCTAAATCAATCGTATACTTCGTCTTAAAAGCGTCATATGAATGTACCTAGAACTTAGACCTAGAAACCCACAGAACCTGATATAATCCCCGCTTTCCGATTTTTGTAATACTCAATGGTAATCAGTTCAGTTCAGTTTTCACTAGAATCCTGTATGCTCTCATTTAATCCTGGAAAATTAACATTTCTTGTACCTTCATGACATACGAACTCTCTTAAGCAGAATAAGAGAGTGGATGATTACTGTTTAACAGTAGTCCTTTCTACGGTATAGCTGCTACTCGTTGCTATTCTACTACCACTCGTTATTTTCTGGTCTTTATAAAGAAAAGCGTATGTTTACATAGAAGTCGATGGTGCTTCCTTTGCACAAATTAAATTAAGAGGTCAAGAGAAAGAGCAAGAGCAACATATGGGAAATTTTAATTATGGAAAAAGTGCAATGAATACTCAAGTAAACAACTTCAGAAATTACTGAAGGAACATTTGGTCATAAACATCATACTGACTCAGGCAATTAGTGATTATTATTATAATAAGCTCGCGAAAGGGTTAACCCGAAAGATATTATTTCGCCATAAGAGACCTGCGAGCAGCAATCTGGGTGGCCCAGACGGAAGGGTAACCTTAAATCATATGTTTCTTCTACCGCCACTATGTGCCTTCAGAAGCTACTTATGTACATATGTATTCGTGGATGTAAACATTGGTTTATCATAGGTACATCACATGCCATTGCTAATTTATCAACACTATTGGCAATCGAAGTAGAAAATAGATTCATTGTTATGAATTCTTTCACTTTACTAACACACACACTCTTGCTCTTTCGCATTACAAATCTAATTAGATTACAGTTAGATATTTACTATTTCTTACCTCATCGCATTACTTTACCGTTGCCGTATGACTACTCGCTGCTTTTGTCTCTCTCTTGAGAAGACTCTATAAAATACGTTTACGAGCGTAGTTACTCTAAAAGATATTGCTTGAAATGGAAAAAACTGTGACTCACAAGCAAGCACCACAAAAAGGCCACCGACTTTGAGTCTCTACGCGTTCTTCAACAACTTTGGGGTACTCCACAATACATACATGTGGTGCTTTCTTAGCCTGCCTACCCCCCCTCCGTTGCCACTAACACAGTCTACAAACCCACACCGCCGCACAGCTGATTCCATGCCGTCCATACAGCATTGTTATTGTGAGTGAAGTCAGCTTCCTCGTGGCCGACGTGCTCGCTGAGCGCCTCAAACACCAGCAATCAACCAGTCTTTGCTCCAACTCAGCAATCAACAATAATCACACGCTCGCTTCACGTATTTGATACATTTAAGGGCTCTCTTCCATATGCTCTCACTCGTTTGCGCTCTGCCTGCAATCGTATTTATCACTTCCAAACGACGTTGCGTCGTACCAAATAACCAGCTACACCATATGCGGCGTGTACCTTATAGATATTCGCATGCTTGACTGTTTCGTGCCGCTTTAGCGAAGCAATTGCAGACGAAGTCAAAGAACAAGTCGTAGACAGAGGCAGCGACATGTGTGTGTGACGGCTCTCTTCCGTAAGCGTTGTTGGACAAGTTGATTACCTCGCTGTTTGACTGTGCGGTCTTTCGCTTCGTTGCCGAGCGCTAGTTGGTCCAATGCGAGCCTTAAAGAACGCGAGCAACCAAACACACATGCCTACATCCACATGTGTGTTGTTCGCTTGCTCTGCTTTGCAGCGCTTTTCGTGGCTACATAGTGGTTGACTTGGCTCGTTTGCTGCCCGCTTACCCACTTACTGCTAGCCAAGCAGCTGCCTGCATGTCAGACTCTTGTTGCTGGTCGGCAACTCTCCGCGCTTGCTGCCGTCGACTGCGTTCACTTGCTGACTGCATTTCCTTTGCAAGACTACTATGGTGTCGACGGCGCTGACCGTGCCTCCAGCTCCTCATTTACTGCAGTTGCTGCTCATTCTCTGCAGTTGCTGTTGCTGCCGCTCTTCCGCCAGACAGCGGGCGCGCTCTCCCTGTGAGCGCCAATTGCTGAGCACCGCTGCTGTGGTTCGCTGCTTTAGCTGTTTCCTTGCCTGCTGCTGCCCAATCCGGCGCGCTGCTGGCGCACTTGAATTCAGTCTGTGAACAGGCGCCGAGCACTGCACAGCTTTTTGCGTATTTGTTGCGTTCTCGTCGTGTGAAATTTTTGTGTGAAGAAAAAATAATCCAAACCATAAAGTTAAAAATTTTTGAAATCCTAGCCTCCCCGCAAAAAATCAAATAAATTATTCGCTTGTATTTTAACGCTTCTAGTAGCAGCGCCAGCGTAAAACGTGTCTCCCCACCCACCGCCGCGTTTGTTTATTTCGATATTTGGAAAGGAAAAATTTTGTAGTAAATAAAGTCAAACAACAGCCAATTGTTGTTGTAACCATAGCTAGGCTACACGAAAGTGTTATTGGAAAAAAATTAAAGCGTATCGCTCCAACAACGCGCCAGCTGGTGTTGCACGAAATTTTCGCTGAAAGTCTTTCGCTGCTCCACAAAGTGAATTAGTCGTTGTCTTCGCTAGTCGATCGCCGCTCGAAGCGTTCAAAGTAAATAAAAACGAAATTTTCGTGGCGCCGTGTGTCGGAAGCGCTGAATAAATATACAAATAAATGTATATGTAAATAAATGTGTAAAACAAACAGAAATTGAAGTTGCGAATTTCGCGCGCGCGTTTTACATTTTCCAACAACGTCATTTCCACTGGAATTGTGCAAAAGTTGAATTTTTAAAAGCAGATAAAAAACAAAATTTTTCAAAAAAAAAAAATCGCCCGAAGTCGTTATCTGCTTGCCAAGTTAAATGCGAAAAAAGTGTTCTAACATTTAGTGCTGTGCAAATATTAATTAGCAACAACAACAAAGCAAACGTTTTATATTGCGCTCTCCCAGCAACAAATGAGTTACACTAAAAACCGGCTAAGCTAAAATTGTATTGCGACGATATTTACTATATAACGGTAATAAATTTAACAATAGTAGCTTTTGTTTCTTCGATTTCTTTCATTGATTTATGATTAGAATTCGGCACGTTTTTGTTTTACAGTTTTTGTTTTGCTTAGAAAGTTTATTATTGGGTTTGTTTCAATGGAAAGTTAAGAGTACGAACAACAAATTAAAACAAATAATACATGAATTGAAATACTTTTTTCTTCCAATGATACTATAGAATAATGCAATAGGACATTATTAATGGAATAAAAATGATAAATGCCGCCGAAGAAGTTGAAAAAAGAGACATTCCAAAAATTATTTTGAATAAACAGTGCATTTTAATTAATAAAAATATATACCCAAATAATATAGTTCTTTAAAAAATTCCAAAGTCAAAAAAAAAACAAATTTAATAAGAGTTAAAATAAATAAAATATAAAAAACACCTTAATTCAAAAGAAAAGATTCCTCACCTACAAAAATTAAATATAAACAAAAAATTAATATTATTCATGCAAAAAAATTTCGGAAATGAAAGTATTTTAAGTAATTGAACACAAATTAATAGTCAAAATATATAAACTAAAATAATCAAAGCACTACGCCAGACAAGTTAAGAATGTAGATTTTTTTTTAAATATATTGGTTGTCAAAAAAGTCTTGCGGTATATTACCGGTATTTTTTTAATGAATTTTCAATTGTTCATACAATTTTTTTTGATGACTCATGCCCAGTTATTGACCGATGCTGCGGCTGCTACTATGCCGGTCTCTTTCGACCAATTCAGCGATTTTATCGCAATTTTGGACGACAGGCCTTCCGGAGTGTGGCGCATCTTCGACCACCTCTACACCAGAACGAAAACGTTGAAACCATCGTTGTGCGGTGGACATGGAAACTGTATCGGGTCCATAAACTGGACAAATTTTATTGGCGGTTTGAGATGCATTTTTGCCTTTATCGTACTAGTACTGTAAAATATGCCGTATTTTCTCTTTATTTTGCTCCATATTTGCGACGCTATAACTCACGAACGACTTAAAAGAAACGACAATCAATCAAACACTTGTTAGCGCGTGGGCTTTCCAAAAAGATATAGCATGACCCGATGCGACGAATAAAACTAGAACTACGCGCTCTCAGCGCTAAGTAGCGAAAATACCACAAGACTTTTTTGAAAACCTAATATATTTCAAATAAAAACCCGCCCAAAATGCAAAAAAAAGAAAATTAAAAACTTTAGACCAATCAACAATAGTTAATAATTAAAATATTATATCTAAAAACTTATATACAAAATTAAACTCGGTTGTCAATAAAAAATAAATGAAACCTGAAAATAAAAGGATAGTATAAAAAAAGTGTAAATTAAGGAGTTAGATGGATTTACCAGACTCTATACAAAAAACCAATATTTTAATTTTTCCAAAGATACATAGTTTGTAAAAGTTTTGTAAGATGTTCAAAGGAAACTATTTGTCAAAAACTATTACTGCGATCAACTTGAGAATTTAGGACAATATTTTAAAGATCTAATAGAATAAATTAAAATAAAATACAAAAACCCTATAAAAACACCAAGGACATTACAAAGTAAATCACAATTATTTAGACTTAATAATAAAATATGTTAATAAAGTAAAATAATGAATTAAAAGAATTCAAATAATTTACAATTATGAAATACGATAAATAACAATTATATATATTAAATATAAAAAAATAGCAGTATAATGAAATAAAATCTGAAATTTAATCACTCTTAATAAATAAATAGAGCATAATATTGGGTCGTTCACTAAGAAATTTTATAAGATGTCAACAACTGATATTATTGAATTTTATCACAGCCTACTCCACACTTAACCTCTTTACCGATTTACTACAGTTAATATAGTGAGGCTTGTTTGTAAAAAAATTTCTTAAATTTCATGGAATATTTGTTGTTTCTTGCCTAATCAAAGGTGGAAGAAGAAAGGGCATTTTCGGCTTATTTTACTTTTTTATTATAATAAAGGTAAAAATGAAGTTAAAGCCAGGCGGAAATGATGTGATGTGTATAGCGAAGATGTGTTGACCAAACAACAAATTTCCTGTCTGCAATTTCGAACTTGAGGAAGCACCTTGAAGCCGATGTTGATAAATAAATTCGTTAATCAATGCAGATCGTTGAATAATAACTCGAGATATTGCCGCAGGATTAAATTTGTCTAATGCGACCATTTAAATTACACAATATTTTTTTTAATTGTACTAAAAAATTAAAGTATATAGAAAGCGACCCAATATAAATCATTTGATACCAGGTTAGCAATCACGGTAATGTTTTTTTTTGAATCCTGGTTTATCTTAAACAAAAATAAGTAAAAAAAAAATTTGAAAAAATTTGAAAATATGGATTTATTGCTTCTCTGAGAAAATGAAAAATTTGGTTAGTCCCGAAAATTTTGAAATAGTTTTAATAAGCAGCCAAAAGAAATAATTACTGATTATTTTATAGACTAAGACGAAAACAGTTTTAAAACTGATTTTCTTA